AAAAAAAAGCTTATCTTATAATGAAAACTCGTTAATGCTCTAATTGCTTTGTTCATACATTGGTGATAATATTTTAAGCTGTGCTAAAGAATTCTTTACTTATCAATTTTAAATATTCTAAAATTATCAACCTTTAACAATCTTAGTAATCTGTAGTAGCAACTTACAAACTTGGGAATACTGTTGACTTAGTTTTGCAAGATGAAAAATATATTCTTGCATTAGATCAACCATAAACTCCAGTGGAGTAGTATGAATTGAATGCCAGCCAATAGTCTGACATATTTGTGCCACTACGACCTTCAAGACATTTCTTGAGTACTGGGTGGTCATTTTGATCAATTATGTCTGTAAAATAAAAAAATACCATAAAAAAGTTGAATCATACATTATGGCTGTGATGTTAGAAACAACACAAGTTATTTTGAACAATAAAAATACTTTTTACAAAGTCACTAATAATTAGCAAGATATATCTTTAACGCAAAAGTTACCAAGTAAAATAGGTAGAAAACATTTTTTTATTAAATATAAATACTCCTTTTCAGCATATGCGTAACACCAGTACTTGACATTACTAAATTTAGGAAGTTTAAAAGTATTCAAATAAGAGTAAGTATTTAAAACCTGAACAGAAAGTAAACAAAGGCATTGACAAACTTCTATGATAAATTGCACAATAGATAAGTAGGTAGTATTGTTCTGAAGCATATTAATACAGTGATAAGTATATGAATTATTTATATCATATTTACATGGTAATTGTAAAACTTAAAAAGAGCGAACTTTAAAGTGCGGTCCTCTTACCCTCGAGCCCCTGTACAACAGTAGCGTATTACATACACTCACGTCACGATCAAAACAACAACACACAACAGCAGATGCATGACAAAATTGTGTAATGGCACGGATTAAAATCAAATTGCATTAAAAAATGATTGAAAAAACAAGAGCTATGAAACAACCCAAGTACAACACGAGTGTTCCACGCCACAACGACAGGCATTAAAGCGCGGGACCTATATCCATATCAGATTCTGCTGTAAGAGAAAGAGAGAGAGGAAAAAAGAGTGTACGAGCTAACTCTTACCTGCTTTCTTGGCTGTGTAACTTCTCACAATTGGAAAAAAAACAACTGAGACAAGAACAACGATACACTTGACAACGTAATTGACAATTGTCTACATTTAGCTACATTGCAAAAAATATATTTTCACGCATAAGAAGACAGATAAGCGGCACGACGTGAAGCGGGAGCTCTGCGAGGCACCGTGCGTCTCCGCCATCTTGGGGAAGGTGTGAAACGCGCTCTCTCTGCCGCCTGCTCTGGCCCCCTCCGATTTGGTCTCAGCCGTCTCAGGTTAATAGACCAATCACCAATGAGACTACTCCAACTCGACTCGAACTACTTAATCTTCAAATGCGCAGTTTTTTCTACGCCCAATGTTGGATGAAGAGGATTTCCGCAGAGAAAAGTACATGAAAGTTACTGTCACTGTCACTAACATACCATGTCAACAAACTTCGATATTTTTTGCTGTTTTTACTCCCATCATCCCATGCCACCCGATATTTCGGAGTTTGTTGACATGCGGAACCCATGCAGCGAGCCCAACACTGTCACACCACTCACACCGGCAGTTTTAGTACAGGTTGACGCTAGCGCGGCCTAGCGGCCAGTGGCCTACGTAACTTAGCTTAGCGTAGCTTCTTTTTAAGATCTTTTTTCTTCAGTTGTCTCTTATCGACTGATTAATATACGTGTATATTTGATCGTGATTTACGATTTCTGTAACACAAATTTTGCTATGTACATATTATATAAGTTAACCGTTTATTGGAAATCTAAAGTTGAAGGGCTGTTCTTTCATTAGTTAATGGTAAAAGGTCAAGAGTATTGTAATTTTGTAAATATTGCCGATTTTATGAGCCATATAAGATAAGTAGAATATTGATGGTTTTGGAGGTCAATTTTAAGGTAAAAGACAAATTGTAAACTCGCCGCAAGTAGCATATAAAATGTTAACTTTTATTATTTATCTATGAGATTTGTTGCGGCTGGTTTATAATTAATAAAGTGACTTTACTGTAAGTTAGCAATAATTATTAGGATCAGCGCCATCTAGCGGTCTTTATTTTTTGGCCAAAAGTGGCTCCTAAAATTCTCAGTCAGAGCATTCTGGATTAGAGCCATTTAATCAATTATAAACCAGCCGCAACTCATGACGAAGCTATAAAATAAAAAAATAATAATACATGTGTTTTTGGCGGCAAGTTAACAATTTATCTTATGCTTGAATATTCATCTTTAAAAGTATAAACATATAGGAGGTCGATTTTTTGGTAGAAAATAGATTGTTAACTTGCCGCCAAAAACACACGTATCGTTATTTTTTTCATTTTATAGCTACGAAATAAATTGCGGCTGGTTTATAATAGATTAAATGGCTCCAAGCGCTAAAGCTCTGGTTCAAAAGTTTAGGGCCACTTTTTAGTTCAGAAATTCGAAACGCTAGATAGCGCTGATCCGAATAATCACTACTATATATATACATATTTACAGAAGAGCCATGTAATTGAGTATAAACCAGCCGCAAGTCTGTGCTATTTGCGGCAAGTGCAGTACAGCTTATCTTTTGTGCTAAGTAAGCGGCAAGTGCTCTGTCTACTTGATAGAATATTTTTGTAAACACTTTGGCAACATGTGTGGAATATTTTGCTTGATTGAATGTACAACAAACAAAACTAAACCATCTTTTCCTACAAAATCTTTCGAGGTAATTTATCACTTTGACAATTTTCATAAAAGAGAAAAAGGTCTGTTTAAAACTGTAAAACATAAAATATTTCTAAACAGTGGACATTATGCAAAAACGTAATTGCAAATCGAGGTCCTGATAGTTTAAATGGCTTAGAAGAGAGTATTGCAGAACAATGGCACATTCAATTTTATGCAAGTGTTTTGTGGATGCAAGGCTCACAGCCAGTGTCTCAACCACTTGTTGACTCTGATTCTAATATATTTTTATGGAATGGAGATGTTTTTTCTGGGAGTTTGGTACATATTTTTTTTCTGTAATTTAATTCTGTTTATCATTAGGTGACAGTAAAAAAACTGTGTTTTCTGTTTCAGTTTGAAGAAAATTTATGTGACAGCAATGTCGTTCTGACAGCTTTGCAAAATTCAACTGATATCTATTGTACTATGAAAGAAATCAAAGGGCCTTTCAGTTTCTGTTATTATCAAAAGTCTTTGAAACTTTTACACTTTGGAAGGGACCGATTTGGAAGGCACAGTTTATTGTTCAAAACAACTGAAAATCATGACTCACTACTGTTGACATCTGTAGCTGGGAAGGATGTGAATAATATTGTGGAATTGCCAGCTATAGGGATTTTTACTGCAGATTTCAGTAATGAAAAAATTAAGTTTGGCTGTAGTCCATGGTATGAACCAAATGAGAGATTTTTTAAAGTTCTTGATGATTTCAGTAAACGTTTCAATATTCATGTTGATGTTGCCAAAGTAGAATACTTACCAAAGCTAGGAGAATTGTTCATAAATATTTTAACTGACTGCAATGCGGGTTTTTTAAGGTATGCTGAAATAGCATCTGAGACCACAAGTTTTGACAAAGTGATGGACAATTTATTAAAAATCAGTAACATCCGTGTAACTGTAAATAATTTGCTGTCATTACTTGATGAGTCTGTAAAAAGAAGAGTTAAGATTATTCCTAAGTTTTGTAGGAATTGCACAAAGCTACAATCAGAATCTATAAATTCTTGCCAGCACGCAAAAGTTGGCCTCTTATTTTCTGGTGGATTAGATTCAGCTATATTAGCTGCTATTGCTCATAAGCACGTTGATAGCAATGAAACGATAGACTTGATAAACGTTGCGTTCGAAAAGAAAAATAACTGCAATTTTGATGTTCCAGACAGAAAAACAGGAAGGCAAACGTATGATGAATTATTGAAATTACACCCCGAAAGAAAATATAAATTTATTGAAGTATGATTTGAATTCAGGTACTTCTTTCACTAAGTTTGACCTGGAATACATTTAAAAAAATTAATTAATTAATTTCAGGTTGACGTTTCTCGAAAAGAATTAGAAAAATACAGATCTACTCAAATTTTCAATTTAGTGTACCCACTAGCTACCGTGCTAGATGATAGTTTAGCATGTGCAGTTTGGTTTGCCAGTAAAGCCAACGGAATGATATGTCCAGAAACGGAACCATACGAATCAACTTGCAGAGTATTGTTGTTGGGAATGGGGGCTGACGAACAATTCGGTGGATACATGAGACATAGGACAATTTTGAGGCGTAATGGATGGGAAGCTCTTACCACAGAATTGAAATTGGAATTTGATAGGATTTCTGACAGAAATTTAGGGAGGGACGACAGAATGGTGGCTGATCATGGCAGGCAATCTCGATTGCCGTACTTGGATGAAGATTTTGTCGATTTTGTTCAAAAACTTCCACCTTGGAAACGGTATGAAATTCATACTTAAAATTTGATATGATTTCCTCCTTTGTCCATCGATTTTATCACTCAAAATCTGTTCTCGGTTCCCGACTTTATTGTTGTCGGCCATAAATCTCACGGCCCATTGATGCTCTCAAATATAAATTTTGCATAACAATGAAAATAAAGTCATATTTTCCTTGTACAGGTGCTGTCCAACGGAAAAGTTCCCAGTCGGTCTAGGCGACAAGCTTTTACTGCGTCTACTAGCACACAGTATTGGTCTGCGCGAAGCGTCGAAACTACCAAAGCGCGCTTTTCAATTCGGCTCGCGCATTGCCGACGGCAAAGAGAACGCCAAGGATTTATCTAAACGACTGTGAATTCGCACAAACATTACCTACCTCTTAATTGTAACTAGCAAATCAGCTTTCAGTCTTATCTACTATCCAATACAAATACAATTCTTATCTTTAATACGTTGCGGGTATTTTGTTGCTACAGACTTAATGACACCTTTACTTTTTATGCACGCATTCGCTCACCCGCATTCGTAACGATCCAGTTTCTGTCGCAATTGTTCTGCTAAAAAATGTACGAAAACAGCTGTAACCTGCAGGAGAAGTTCAACGCATACCTGAGCCCACCACCAGTAGGTCTGGAACAGGAGTACCGCGTGATATTCTCGCCAAAGGCCGTCGAATTTCTTGTCGATCTGTATCTGCGCTTCCAAAGTAGAGTCGATGAACTGTACGCGGCAAGACTCGAGCGAAAGTACGCGGGTCGCAGGATACCCAAATTCTCCAAGAACAATATCACCGACAGCGACTGGAAAGTCGCACCAGTCAGTAAGTTTGAAAATAATTTTTCTCACTCACATGCGCATCGTCCGTTTTAAAATTAATCGAACAGCTTGACGTTACAGGTGAGCGACTACGTAACCGCCACCTGGACCTCGGGGATGTCAGTCCGAGTGACTACATGCGTTTCACTGGAGCCCTAAAAGCGCGCGTTCAGGGCATCCAGGTCGACTTCGACGATGGCCACTGTCCCACCTGGCAGAACCAGATAATTGGACTACATAACGTGTACCGCGCGGTGCGCAACGAGATCCCGAATGTGCCTCGCTTGGCCGATGCCCCGGTGCTGCTGTTCCGGCCGCGCGCTTGGAATATGCTGGAGCATAACGTCAGCGTATCGGGACGTTCGGTACCGGGTCCGCTTGTCGATTTTGCTCTGCTAACGTTCCATAATGCCAAGTTACTGATGGCGAGCTACTCTTCTGGACCATTTTTTTATTTGTCAAAGCTCGAGAGCGCTCGGGAAGCCAGATTGTGGAACGACATTTTTACCTGGAGCCAGCTAAAGCTGCGTCTACCCTATTAAGGCTTGCGTGCTGGTCGAGAACGTGCTTGCAGCCTTCGAGCTGGATGACATTCTGTATGAGCTCAGGGACCACTCGTTGGGACTCAACTGTGGCATGTGGGACTATGCGGCTTCAATAATCGCCAAGTTTGGCGAGGACTCGGCCTTTGTGTTGCCGGACAGAAATAAATACGTGAGCATGGACAGGCACTTTATGAAAAAGTATATGGTTCTAGTCGTGAGCACGTGCCGCAGACGAAGTGCTCCCGTTACCGGTGGTATGTCGGCCAAGCTCTTACCTCCTCGGAAGTCGAAAGATTTTGATGATGTTCTTCAGAGCGTTATTCGTAGTAAACTGATGGAGATACAGGCTGGAGTGGATGGTTTCATAATTTACGATCTAAATCTAGTCGAGCACATGAATGATGTGTGGAGCGAGTACGGGGGAGCCGCACCGCGGAGAAGTATAGATTTAGAAAAATTCGAGGAGGTAACGGAAGCCGATCTGTTGAAATTGCCCGTGGGAGGAGTAACCGAAGAGGGACTCAAGCATAACATTGCGGTCGGGATACTGTTTATCTTCCACTGGTTGTGCGGTAAGGGTGTCTTTGCTTTCAAAGGAGCCATCGAGGACGCGGCGACTGCTGAGATCTCGAGAGCCCAAGTCTGGCAGTGGATCCGATACTCGGTCGCGATCGAGGATCGGAGCACTGAGACTTCTCCAAAGGCTGTGGTCACGAGGAAGCTCGTCTTTGAAGAAGCTACAGGCATTTTTGAGAGTTTCATGAAGCTTTACGGAATCAATAACTCAGCCAAAGTCAAGCTAGGCGTTGCCTTTAATTTGTTTTTGCAAATTGTCAATCAGCGGGATTTTCCGGACTTCATCACGACGTACCTAAACGATGCTTATGTTTTTCGTCAAGTGTCGGCTAATCTTTGAATTTTTTTTTTTGGTTCAGATTGGGTTTTTGAGAAAATAAAATTAATAAGTATATTGCCTTGAAACGTTGCTTGCACATGCATTTTATTAAAAGACAAACTGCCCTGATTGATCCTTTTATAAATTCCCTCCGCGTACTTTCAGCAGAGACGAGCTTTGACCGACAATCCGGTGAGATGACGTCTTTTTTCTTTAATTGCTAAAAATTACATGTCGAAGCATATGTCATTAATGGTCAAACTATAACCTATAAATATGTGATGGACATGGACATACTGCTGTCTGCACTCTCCGTATAAACAATTAAACACTCAAAGCGCTCAAAGCCATCATGCTTTTGTCAACATGTCAAAGTCGACGAGCCCGTAAAAGAGTGCATGAGAATCAACTGACACACGAAAGATAAGATTTGCTGAACAGATTTGTCAAATGGAATGACAAATGACAAAACTGCCGTAGCACCATTAATATGAGAACTCGCAACTTGTTTTGTTGTAAAACTTGTTCCATAGAGTAGATGCGAGATACTTGGAAGTTTATCGTCGTAGATTGATGTGATACGTTTTTCGTGATTTCAAACCAGCAACTCAACATGCTACCTGAAAAAATAGAAATATGTAAGTAAAGAAATATGGATGTTTAGATTGTCGTTAAACTCAAACAATGTTTTTTTCTTCATATTTTATACCTCTGATTTGTGGATATAGCTGTGATACCTCAGGATTTAAGACATGAGGAAACAATTGTACAAATTGCGGAAACTCTGGATGACTTGAATTTTGCGGTGAACCACATATTTGATTCTTTGAACAAAAAAATTGCAGAAAACACTAAAAGGTGAGTGTTTTGTAACAATGATACAAAATAAATCGATTTATCATCGCTACTTTTAATACAGGCTTGAGGATATACATAATCGAGCTGCAAAGGCTCAAGGAAAGCTAAATTATCTTCAGACAAATTTAAACATGAAAGCTGTAAAACTGTACTCGGCAGCAAAATATCCAGCAGCTCACACTTACCGTGAGTACGAACTAGCTATAAAACCCAAGATGAGAAGAGAAATCAAGCCCTATGAAATTTACAAGAGTCCAGTTCCAATCTCTGACAAATTAGAAACTCCATTAACCATGAGTAGCAAAGTAGAAAATGGACAGTATGCCAGCAGTGCTAACATGCAAGAAAAATTGCAGTTTTATTATGTCAAGTCAACTAGCTCAACAAATGATCATGAAACTGAGAAAGATCAAGCCAGGCTTAATGTTTCATCTGTTAGTGCTCTATTGCTGTGTAATAAAAAAGATTATCGGAGTCGTGTTAAGATACAATCTACTGAAAACGATAATAAAAGCAAAATTGAAGATGCACCAGATTCCATCTTACAACCTTGGCATTCTTCTGAAATGGAATCTCCATCAAATTACATGTATGCTCCAACTTTAGGAGAGGTATGTACATTTGTGTTGCATCGAACAATTGAATGAACAAAATGTTTAAAATGATATAAATTTCAGGTGCCGCTAATCGACGTTCCTCTGTCTTTACCCGATTTGCCAGGAATCGTGGATGACGAGCGCTTTGTTCTCGATCTAAACTTTCAGAGTCCCATAGCACCATCCTCTGCAGTTGCCACACCGACCACTCGTAAGGATCCACCAACATTAGGATCAACAGAAGAGCAAGACTCGTTTAGAAAACTACAAACTACTGGTACTACAGTTCCAAAAGCTTCAACATCGATAGAGCCATCCCCAAAACCTGTTGTACTCACGCCACCAGTTCCTGTTCAGTCGAAAGTAGAGGCTCCAGCACCAAAAGAGTCAACTCTGGATGCGCCCAGTCGACTGGATGCACCTCCACCACCTCCACCACCACCACCACCTCCTCCTAGTTCACCACCTGAGTCAGAGGAACTAATAAAACAAAACAAAGAAGCTTTGATAAAGCCAGCCTCCGCGAAGATTCCAATTCCGGGCGATAGAAACAATCTTATGGCTGCGATCCGAGATGCTGGAGGTGTTGGCAAAGCCAAGCTACGACACGCCACCCCGGTTGATAAGGCCAACGATCGGTGGTCATCAGCTTCCGTAGGCAATGATCTCATGGCCGATTTACATGCCACTCTGGCTTTACGACGAAGGGGAATCGCTGGATTAGCGACAAATCCTCTAGTGAGGCTCTCGAGCATGATACCACCACCACCAAAACCTAGTGACTCGTCTGATCGCAACTCTGCGACTAGCGAGTCCCAGGACGACGATGGCTGGGAAGAGTGAAACAGAGTTTTTGATCATGGACTAATAACGAAAGGGCGGTTGTTTTGATAAAATAAATTTTATATTTTTTTTTTTTGTGCTAACGATTCCTTTGTACAATTTCTATGTATAGTATTATTACAAAAAGATGGCTTCTATCTTTATTTATGTACATTTTCGAGATTTAAGATAATTAACATTCGTGGCACGACATTCGGTCATTTGTATAAAAATTTTAATATTATTTGTATATTATTTGTAAAGGCAAGAAGTTCGATTTTTCAAATAAAATTTTTATACAAATGATTTATGTATAAAAATATAAGTCGCATATTATATACCATACAGCTATTAATTATTATCGTCAACTCCAAATAAAATTATATATTCAGATATATTTTTAACATTATTATCCCTTTTCTCGATATGTTAGTAAATATTGAAGCAGATATTTCAATAGCGTTGGATTAAACATTTTGTAAACATATATAACTCTTTTTATGAAAATAAATGTAAAACATGTTATTAGTTTTTTGCCAATCTTAACGTTCGGCTCGTAACAATGTACAAGTGAGATTGCACATAAAATATTTATATCCAAAACTTTCGTATTAACTTTCAAATACTATTATTCAATTCTTTTTCAGTTATACTATATGGAAAATCGATAAAACCCTAGGTTTTGTGTTATCAATCGGATTCGCAGATGGACTAACGAGTACATCATTTTTGTCTCTATAAAAATTGTTTTAAAATCTATATACTAAATCGAACACATGGAACACAGACTTAGCCAACTCGTTAGCCAAATTCCGATATCAATTTTATTAAATTCTATTCAATTATTAAAATGTTAAACGCTCAATCGAACTATGTAATAAAGTCGGGAGCGTAATTCATTGAGATTATCAGATCCTAATATAGGGTAATATTTATACGGGCTACGCGGCAGAGAAACAACGTTAATTTGAATCAACAAATCAACCAAGATAAAAGAAAAAAACTATTAAAGTGCCGCATAGCTACCATCTAAAATATATCAATAACATCGATTCGTTCGTTGTTCGTTGATTCCAAAACCTTACCGAATCACAAGAGTCGTCGAAAAAAAAATCCTAGAGAAGCGAGTACAATTTTTGATAAAAGAATACCTAATGATAATAATAATAATAATAACAGTGGCAAGTTGTTACAAGTTCGGCGCTACCCAGTCGAGGAAATTTTTGGCAAGCTCGAAGCCGAGGAAGCAGGCAGCGTTGGCTGGGAAAGCTCGCAACATGACAGGAACGACGCCCTTGTAAAGAGCGGCTGGTCCCTCGGTCTTCATTAACTTCACAAAGACCTCTCTCACGCCCCTTTTGTACGTACCCTCGGGTGCTGTAACCAATGAAAGTTTTTTTTTATCCCTTAAAAAAAAAAGCATTGTTTCAAAAGTCACGTACCAGTCTGGAGGCGGGATTTCAGAACGTCAGGTGGCATGCCTACGATCCAGTTGGCGATTCCCGCGCAGCCCCCGGCGGTTATCGTCGAGAGCAACGTGAGACTGCCGTCCTCGGCCTTCAACAGTCTTTGCAAGACTTCGTAGGTCGTAAAGTACACTCCACTGGCAGGTACATCTGAAAATATACGAAAACGAAACGAAAATAATAAAAAAAAGTTGTCCCTTCCATATCACATACTATGATGATTATCGTTACACCAAAACGATAAAACATAAAAGGCGTCCATGAGAAAAAGAGAGAGGGAAAAGGGAGTTATTGTATTATCAATTAATAATAGAGAGAAATATGCGCGTGTGGGCGCTCTCGGTATAGATAATAGATAAAAAAAAAAAAAAGGCACATCCTGTGCGTGCGCCAGATGGAGGAAGCCGCTGCAGAGCGCGCGGATATACAGCGAGAGAAGGAGGAGCTGGCGGTGATAAGCCGCATCGGCAAAGTTCAGTTCCTTTCGGTTCGACTGATCGACGGGCTTTTGGAGCTGTGTTGCCGTTGTCCTCGTGGTGGAAAAATAATTACTTCCAACGCGTCTCGTTGCTTTCGACCCATTATCGTTACATCGCGTCGGTGGACAATCAATGGTTTTGCCATGGGATACGTTAAATTTTTTCTAAGCCTCCTGGTCTTGGTAAATCTTTTTTTTTTTTTTTTTTTTTTTTTTTTTTTTTTTTTTTTTTTTTTTTTTTTTTTTTT